GTTAAAAAACAAACTATAAAGTAAAAAGATTCCTTAATTTTTTTTTTTTGGTTTTTTGAGACAGGGTTTCTCTGTGTAGTTTTGGTGCCTGTCCTGGAACTCACTCTGTAGATCAGGCTGGCCTTGAACTCACAGAGATCTGCCTGCCTCTGCCTCCCGAGTGCTGGGATTAAAGTCATGGGCCACCACCACCTGGCAATTCCTTATATTTTTGATGGTGGAGGTTAAGATGGGGTCTAGCTGTGTAGTCCAAACTGGTCTTGTGTTTATCATTCTGCCTCAGCCTCCTGAGTGCTGGGACCATAGGAGAGAGAGTTCATACCCTGATCTCTCTGTTTCGGTTTTGTTTTGTCTTGTTGTGAAGAAGAATGGAATTACATAAAAGTACACAGGGCCAGGTTTCCTGATACATGCCTTTAATTCCCACCCTCAGAAGGCAGAGACAGGAGGATCACAAGTTTGAGGCCAACCTATCTGTCTTAAAAAGAAAAGGGGACTGTAAAGATGGCTCGTCGGTTAAGTCCACTGACTGCTCTTGTGCAGGACCCTAGTTCAGTTCCCAGCACCCACGTGGCAGTTCCAGGGGATCCTACACCCTCTTCTGACCCTCAGGGGCCCCTTCATGCACACGATGCACATACGCACGCTCAAGCACACACACATGCACATAAACTAGAAACTTTCTTTACACTGTGCTTTCTCTTTTAGCTTAAAGCAATCAATGTAGATCTTCAGAGCGACGCCGCCCTGCAAGTGGACATTTCGGATGCTCTCAGTGAACGGGATAAAGTCAAATTCACTGTTCACACCAAGGTAAAGTGGAGCTTTGTATTTGGTGTTCTTTTAGAAATGCTGACACTTGTGTAACGTGTTGATTGGTTTTGATTCAGTTGATTCCAAACTTAACTTTTGAATGTATTGGAAAGAGGCATAGATCTTTTTTTTTTTTTTGGTTTTTCGAGACAGGGTTTCTCTTGTGTAGCTTTGCGCCTCTCCTGGAACTCACTTGATAGACCAGGCTGGCCTCGAACTCACAGAGATCCGCCTGGCTCAAGAGGCATAGATCTTAATTGACTGATTCTTTAACAAACAAGTTTAGGGAAGTTACTTTTTGTTTGTTTGTTTGGCCTTTCTCTCTTTCTTTCTTTCTTTCTTTCTTTCTTTCTTTCTTTCTTTCTTTCTTTCTTTCTTTCTTTCTTTCTTTCTTTCTTTCTTTCTTTCTTCCTT